TAGGTTGGGCAGCAGTAGGCAGTTTTTCCTAGTGCTACAGGAATTCACACAGGCAGATAGATGGAGTTCATCACTGGCTCTTACCGTGTGTACTAAGTTCCCCATTGTGGGAACCCACACAAAATGTCTCAATACAAATGCACAACTTTGGCTTGAAACTAAATTTCCAGTGCTAGCTCCTCTTTATGCCGGGTTTTGGTACCCAGAATTTCAGCTGAAGAAACCTAAGAAACATTTCAACCAACCATTTATGTTTTTAAGCCTAATCATGACATGATGGGGTTTGTTTTCTTTTCAAAGACTTATCTTCTATTTTCTTACAGAATAATCTGACATTTTTACAGGTCTGGATAGCTCCTACTTTGTCTGGGAGAAGAATGGACAAAAGATGAAGGCATGCATCACAGAGCAATCTCACAAACTGCTTGATGGCAGAGTGCATGTTCTCAGCTGGGTGAAAGATGCAGTATCAGAAAACACAGAATACAGATGTTCATTCATCTCAAAAGTTGGGAACACAACGTCAGAAGTGCTGATCACAGTGGAAAGTAAAGGTAGGCCTTTTCAAGTGTATGCTGTGCTTGGCCTGATCCTGATATGAGTAAAGCTCTATAATATTCCCCCATAAAATGTGCTTATCTGAACATGGTAACTCCTACCTACTGTATCAGTATGCACTTCATTTATGAAAAGGTTTTAGTGCCATAAAAACTTCTCCCTCTACCCCCTCCCTCAAAGGACTAATGTAATTTAGCAGCTATGATCCAGAAATTGAACCAAAACCTGATAAACTAATTCAAAAAAACTGAAAAGCAGATGAATAATAGAGAGCTACAAATAAGTACTCTGATGGAATTCTACAGAGTAATGTAGAAACAATCTTTAATTCATAAGGACTTAAGGAAGTCAGATGGTAAAGAGAAACTCTATGCTGGATTTTAAAAATTGCATGATATGTAAACCACTTATGGTTGAGCAAGGTCTGTTCCCTCTGCTCCATTTGGACACTAACTAACTAGGCAGGAGGGCAGTTAGGTAACTTCAACTGCAGGATTTTAGGGTGTCCAGACTGCCTGCTGCAACTAGCTCTTGAGACCTTACCCAGGTGTGGAGAAGGTCTGAACAGTCTTTAAAAAGACAGCAGGAACAAATGAATATGATACAGCAGGGATTTTGGCAAGATGAAGGAAAAATTTAGAACCTGGTTAATACAAGTGTCAAGGAAGGCTCAATGCTTCTTTTTTCAATCTCTCAGCAGAGAGAAGCCATGGGAGTTATGCCATCACGGCAGTTACTTTGAAGTCTGTCTCAGAAGCAGAATTAAGAGCATCTCAACCGAACAAATATAATTGTAAAACAGAGGAACTCTCACTGTGCTCTAAAAACATACGATTGTTGCTAATGTCCCAAAAGATAAATAGAAAATATGTCACCATCAGTCTTACATTCTGCAAAAAAAGCTGGCAAATAAACCAAGATGCAATAACATAACCTTTCTTCAATTATCGATGTAAGGGAGTATTATAAGGAACTCTTGTGTGAAATTACATGACGTGGCTGAAGGATCAGACCCAGCCAGCACGGGTTTAGGAGAAGCAGGTCCTGCCTGACCAACCTGGCCTCCTTTTATGACCAGGTGACCCACCTGGTGGATGCAGGAGAGGCTGTGGATGTTGTCTATTCTGACTTCAGGCAGCCTTGTGACACTGTCTCCCACAGCACACTGCTGGAAAAGCTGCAGCCCATGGCTTGGACAGGAGCACTCTGTGCTGGGTTAGGAACTGGCTGGATGGCTGAGCCCAGAGAGTGCTGGTGAGCAGTGCTGCATCCAGCTGGGCATCAGTCCCCAGAGGTGTCCCTCAGGGGTCTGTGATGGGCCAGTCCTGTTCAATATTTTTATTGGTGACATGGATGACGGGATTCAGTCTTTTATCAGTAAATTTGCAGGTGATACCTAACTGGGGGGGGGGGGAGTGACAATCTGTTGAAGGGTAGGAGGGCTCTGCAGAAGGACATGGAGACACTGGATTGATGGGCCAAACCCAGCAATATGAGGCTCAACAAGACCAAGTTCTGGGTCTTGGGCAAAGTCCAAGTGTTTTGGCCACAGCAACCCCAGTGCTACAGGCTGAGGTCAGAGTGGCTGGACAGTGCCCAGGTGAAAGGGACCTGGGGGTGCTGGTGACAGCAGGTGAACACGAGCCAGCCTTGCCCAGGTGGCCAACGTGGGCAGCAGCATCCTGGCCTGTAGCAGCAATAGTGTGGCCACCAGGAACAGGGCAGTGATGGTACCTGGTACTCAGCACTGGTGAGGCCACACCTTGAGTTCTGTGTCCAGTTCCAGGCAGCTCAGTATAGGAAGATGATGGAGTGTGAGGCTGAGATGCTTGGAGCGTGCTCAGAGAAGGGCAACAAGGCTGGTGAAGGGTCTGGAGCACAAGTATTATAAGTAATGGCTGAGAGAGCTGGGGTTGCTTAGCTTGGAAGAAAAGCAGGCTCAGAGGAGACTTCATTCTCTGTAGCTACCTGAAAAGAGGGTGCAGACAGGTAGGGGTCAATCTCTTCTCCCAGGACAAGAGGACACAGGCCTAAGCTGTGCCAGAGGAGGTTTAGGTTGGACATTAGGAGGAATTTCTTCACAGAAGGGGTGACTACACATTGGAATGGGCTGCCTAGGGAAGTGGTGGAGTCGCTGACCCTGAAGGTGTTTAAGGAAAGACTGGATGTGGCGCTGAGTGCCATGGTCTGGTTGACAAGGTAGCGTTGGATCATGGGTTAGATTTGATGATCTCAGAGGTCTTTTCCTGATTGATTCTGTGATCCTGTGATTACTGAAAAATGGGGAATAGTAACTGGACCTGTCCTTCATGTTAACTGGTCCTCTCCAACAAGTCACTTTTCTCCCCAGGCTTGTTATGATCTACCTGGAGCATTCCTGTGCTTATTACAAGGGTTTGAACTATTAATTTATAGGTCCTACCTTATAGATCTCAAATCACAGATAATGGCACTAAACCTGTTTACTCTGGAGGCTATTAAGTTTGCTGCACAGTGTAAGAGACATAACAATTTCCACAGAACTTACTGCCAAATAACATGAAAGGATGTAGAGCCAAATAAGGACAAGACAGGATGGGGATTCCTTCCTGCCCCCTTCCTGCAGGACAGGCACTCCTGAATCTGATAAGGTACTGACTTCTGCCATTATGTGGTTATGTAACCATCCCATTTCCATTTTCAGACAGTGCTGGTCAGGATGCATGGACTAAAGAATTTGATACCTGGAGAAGTGCCATCAGTGAACATGACAAGATGATGCAAAACTGGAGGAAAACATGGGTAAGACTTTTATAAACTGCCTCTAGCACTAGCGTTTCTTCAACTGCATGTATTTATATAACAAAATGATCAGTATTCCTGTACATGTCATCATTCTTGACCCTCTCAGCAGTAAAGTCTGTTCTATGTATGACACTCCTTGCAGTTTTATCAGCTTGTTCCTTCAGTCCACTAACCAAGCGCTCATCATCTTCCTACACAAAACAGTAAGTCTGTGTATAGTGAATAGAGCAGATCAATTTCATCACGTCTGTAGACTAACTGGATTGCAGAGACTACTGAACTTCATAAATGGTACTGTCCATAAAAGCTGAAGTTTCTTTTCTTTAAAAAAGGTCCACAGCCATCTATTATTATTTTTCTTGAGCAGTTAGAACAAAGATCGCTTTTGAAAACCTTAAAGATATTATGTTCTTGCTGCCCATAGAACAGTTAGTATAGGCAACCTTAAGCCCTGTTTTCATTTTTAGAGTGGTATTAACACATAATTCTGAAATTTTTCTTCAGGAGACCTGCAACAAGAGAAACACCCTCTAATGGACAAAGGAATGAACAGGCTAAGAGGAGAAATGTATGCGAGTTAAGAAGACCTGTTACACTTAATATCGCATTTGTGATGACATTAAAACTGATATTCAGGAGAACCACCTCAAGCATGAAGTGGAAGGGGATTTTCTTCCTGCACCAAAGAATAACTAAGCTAAATTACATGGTACAAGAAAGGCCATCCATCCCATGCTGCAACTATCTCTGGTTTTCTGATGTCAGCTATTTCAGCTTAATAAAGAACAAAAGGAGTCTCAGCCAGACTTATGCTGTTCAAAGAATATAATACGGTTTTTTCTGTTTTGAGTCCATTAAGCCAACCAGGTAATTTTGGGCTTGAGGATCTTGGCATATGATTTAGAAATTAGGACATGGATCATATTTATTTAAAGGCATTTCAACTTGTACACCTATTTTTCTTTTACTATGTTTACCCTTACGTTGCCAGTGTTTTGAAGAGCATTCCTTTCTAGTGTCAGCAAGCTCATTTGTTCAAACGTTATTTCCATTGGTAATTGTGCTGGGTTTGAGTTAATTTTCTTCACAGTGGCTGGTATGAGAATCTTTTGGATTTGTGCTGAACACAGGGTTGATAATGGAGAGATGTTTGTTACTGCTGAGCAGGGCTTGCACAGAGACAAAGCCTTTTCTGCTTTTTGCACTGCCTGGATGGCAAGGAAGTTGGGGGTGCAAGGAAGGCTGGGAGGAGACACAGCCAGGGGATATTCCAGACCATATGGCATCATGCTCAGTACATAAAGGTAGGGAGGCATTTGGAGTGATGTCATTTGTCTTCCCAAGTAACTATTATGTGTGATGGACCCTGCTCTCATGGAGATAGATGAACACCTGCCTGCCCATGGGAAGCACTGAATGAAATCCTTGTTTTGCTTTGCCTATGTGCATGGCTTTTGCTTTTCCTATTCAACTCTCATCATCTCAACCCACAGGTTTTCTGGCTTTTACCCTTCTGATTTGCTCCCACTGTGAGTAGCTGGGTGGTGCCTGGTTGCTGGCTGGGCTTAAACCGTGACAGTAATAAAGTTTCTATACCAAATCAAGAAGTTCTGACTAATGCTGAAAATACAAAGTATGCAACAACACACTTTAGTTTTTGCAAATTCTTCTTCAATATTTGAGATAATGTAACTTAAAAATTCTGTGATGAATGAATTCAAAGACCATTCCTTATGATCATCAACTGCAGACTGAAAATGTGAGGACCTACACTATCCACAGTAGAAGCGCTCTATTGCATTCCTGCTCAGTTTTGTCCTTCTGCATCTAAGAAACAAAAGTCTGAGGTTTAAATTAAATTTTCTCTATTATCTGTTCAATGGATTTCAACAATCTGGAAGCAAGTAAGATGCTCCCTAATAATCAATCAGCCCAGGTGGAGAGCTGCTTTGAACAGTATCAGAAAGCTTCATACTCATCCCTACGTTCTCTCCTGACTGGTAAGATTTAAATTAGAGTGCTTCCCACATTAAAGAAAGCAGTCTCCTCATGCTAAGACTTGAATGATCCTTTTTTTTTAAGTGTCAGACCACCTTGTCACACATGCAGAGTGAAAACTCATTTTTCCCTACTTAGCTTAACCATTTTCCCTGTTTTTCACACAGGCATTTCACTAATGCAGACTTCTGACACCGCCAGAGATATTTTTTCTCATATTTTTTTTGTTCTCAGGCTAACTATAAATAGACTTTCCTTGATTGTCTCTCCTGCATTTGTTCAGCCAATCTGGAGCACTTAGTTCTGTGCTCCAAACTTTAGTTCTGTGGAGCTGAGTGGGAATAAAAGTAAAACAAGAGTCAGGGTTATAGATGACGTAGCTAAACTTTGTTTCTGCAGGAAATTACTGCAAGTAGTAAAAAGTTGCCAAATTTTTTGTTTAGTTCAATTTTATGGGGAAAAAAAGAGAAAAATCTGTGTACCAGCATTAGTAACCATGGCTGTCACACCTTATAGCAAATTTTTGAAATATCCTCTAAGAACTGGAAGTAAGTCCCTAAGATTGTGAACAACCTATAATGTTTCTGAAGTTTTATGTTCTTCTGCAGTAAGACAAAATAGAAAACATGGTCAAAAACCAAACTTCTTTATCAACTGGTCCTCATTCAATGCAATGACTGGGTTTAGCAGTTCCAGAATCTTAGATGTGTATCCAAGTGGCACAGGTACAAATGAAAAAAATTACAACTTACCTTTGCATCAAGGGTATATGCTGACCAAAAGCATGTTTTGTCACTGGGACCTTTCATCCCCAATTTCCATTTAAGATTAGAAGGAACTAATAAAAAAAAGATCATCATCATCATAACCAGTGCATTTCAGCATCAGGCCGCTCCCCTTGTCAATGTTCTTTCCCAGAAGTGACACTTCAAGTATCACTAAATTTCCACAAGACGTGCTTACTTAAGTCACAAGTATTCTTTATAGAATCAATATATTGTAACAGATTTTATACAATTTATATTCTACAAAATTGTTTGCATTTCAAAATTATTGAAAGTTTTTTTTATATCCCTTCTATCATCACAAGGCAGCTACTTTCCAAAGTATTGCACTACAAATGTTCAGTATGGTGAAGTGCTTGCAGACACACCTCAGAGATGCTGAGCAGCACCTGGCATCTGTATCACCTTTCAGAAAAGCTGACACAAGTTATATGTGCATCCCTCCAATTACTTTCTTTAGGCTTTGTCCTCAAAAAAGTGTTTATATAGGCCATTCCCACTAAGGTGCTCCACCACTACTGTAAGCACATTTTATTTTTAAAATTTTATTTCCTCTAGGATACAAACTTCATTTCTTATAAGATATAAATTTTTTCTATTTAGATACAAACTGAGATTACTCAAAAACTCATAGATGTATATACCAACACAACCCCAAACTGAAGGAATGACGAGTCTCAGCAAGAAGGTACAGATAAGCAGACTAGCACATTTGCTGTCCTGCAATATCCTCTAACTTCAAAGCAGAATCTATGACAAACTACTCTCAGTAACAACAGAAACATGAAATTTATAAAAAGGCTAAACAGAGCACATTCATTTCAAGAATTTCAGACTCCTGTAGTCTGTGCTATCTCCTTCACACCTGATGTATGATCCCCAAATAACAACACAGAAGAGCTAACTAGGAACTTTGTCATCATGGCCTTCCTTAATTAGTTTAAATCAAGCTACCTGACCCAAATTAATTTGTTGCTGACGAGAATAAAGTGACATTGATAGCAGCCGCCCTTCTCAGAAGGCTTATTTAGAATAAAAACTAAGAACAAACCCACAATCAAACAACAGCTGAAATTTTTTATACAGGAGTTAAAATTAAGGGCAACTCTCCTTTAGCCCCTTCTGGCTCAAGGCATCTCTTCCAGAATAAAATTATTTTTCTATCAGATTCTTTTGGTATATTCTACCCGAAAAAATCAATGCTAGTGCATAAAAGCATTAAAGTATGCCAAGCCAGTTCAAGTGATTTGGGGTACAATAATTTGGTGTTGTCATCTGCTATAATAATCAGAGAAACACATAGAACAAAAGAGCATTAACCAGTGCCTCAAGTGCTCCAGTGTATATTTTGCTTTAAGGGATTCAGAATAGTTTGCTAGCTAACTTCAGGTATTTCTTTAGATTATGTTATTTTGCTACCTTCTTCTTATGCATCTAACAGGAAAAAAAAAACCCAATAGAGTTGGATCGGGATTTACTGATGGTCTTCCAAATTCAGTATTGCCATGTCAGCAGTTGCACTCTTTTCCAATTCCAGTGCATATGGGTTATATTCTTCTTCAAGTTTTCTCTTCCAGACTTTAACTATGGAATATTGGAAAAAAATACAAACAACAGAGAAAAAACAACAACCAACATGTTACCATATAATACTTGAGTAGAAGCTTAAAATGAAAAGTCAACCCTGATTCTTTACTTCCCTTCAAAGTAAGTGCCGAGATAATGCCTGACACACCTGACACACAGGCATGCTGGCATTTACATTATGCAACCTAAGATGACACACAAAAGAATAACTTAGGAACAGTGGGGTGCACTGAGCTCCTTGTGCCCAACACCTACTCAAGCAAGGCTAACCCTGAAGGTGGTTACAGCTTTAAAAAAACCTATAAGTTTTCAAACTTTCTATCTGCAATACATTGCATTGTCTGTTGACTTAAGAATAGAGCTGGAGGAAAATGTTTCTAGGAACTAGTGCTTGTGGACAGGAAGATGCATCTCAAAGAGGTTTCAATACAAAAGTTAATTCTACCATAGACGTAGTGTACAGACATCTACAATTAATCTAAAAATAATTTTTTAAACAAATAGAAATACAATTAAGAGCTCTGTGAAACCTCGTTGAGCAAAGCAATGAGTACTGCCTGTCATTTGTGGATTTCAGAGAGGAACTTTCTTCAATGTTTTCTCAGCAAAAATTGATTTTAGATTTATAAAAAACCCCAAGAATTTGCCCCATCCTTCCCTTACTAATGACTAGAGCAGATGTCATTTGTTTCAGTGAAAATCACAGAACTGATGAGCACTGTGAGTGAAAACAGAACAAAGACCAAGTCAGTAAATACTTACTGTAATTTGGAACATCCTCATCTGAGTCCTTGGAAGATGTTTTACAAGTTTCTAACAAGCCATTTTTTTCAGATTCAGGAGTTAAGACGCTGGGTTGGGCTTCTCTTAGCCCTGCTTTAGCTTCTTCCTCTAAAGCTGCTATCATATCTTTGTAGGCCTTCCTAGCCTCTGTTGTCAGCTGTACCATTCTATGAAAATGGTCCTATGGCAATATAAAATACTAGTTTAAATCACACAGTAGGTTTTAACATTTATTTGAAAATCTAATGAATATTCCTTATTCAGAATGTGTAGGTTCATATATAAAAGTTGAGCAGCTTAGTATGTATGAAAAACACAGCATTTATCAATATTTATAAAAACAGCAGTTCTCTTGAAAGAAAAAACGGAGGGCGATAAAGATGACGTCAGGAAGAGATGGCGAGAGTCATTTTTTTTAAGCAGTGCTGACTGCCTGTACTTCTAAAATCAGTTTTTCAAATAAGCTACATATATGACCTGTGATGAAGACTGTAACTCTGCAAAAGCAAAGCAAAAAAAACCCCTAAAAAGCACAGTATTTTCATCTCATCTTCCAAGTAAAAATGAAGCTTTTTGGACAAAAACATGAAGTGACTGATTTCAGCTTACCTGAGCCCCATCATAACTGAAAATTCCCACCACACTCACAGGCACTGCTTTGTTCACACAGCGGCCCAGGGCCTTGCGATTAAGGGCAAAAACAAACGGGATATTCTGCTCACAGGCACAGTCGATAATGTTGTGTAGAGTCTCGTCCAGCCCACCTGCAGCAGACAATACAATCAGGCTAATTGGAGCTAAAGAACCATGGCAAAAAATACCCCAAGTTTATGTGTGCATTCTGAAACTACACCCTACAGGAAAAAACCAGAGATCACAATAGTTGTGTTAAATATCTATTTTTAAAGGAAAATTGGACACTTTTTTCTTAGTTAGCATTAATTTTAGACTGCTATTCATATTTTACTATATATGTAGTAGAGTCTAATCTAGTATCAAAAAATACCCAGCTGCTAAGGAATTAAATGACAATAATTACAACAGTTACAATAAATTAATGACAATAATGAGGAAATTACCACTAGTGATTTATTGCCACTCCATGTCCTAAAAGAGATTGATATAGTGGGACTCCTTGTAATGGCAGAGCTGGCATCAGCAGCCTTTGGATTGTCTCAGCTGTACAGTGCAATTTTTTGTGCAGCACCATAGTGCATCAGTAACTAAAGAGACCCTAATCTCAGCTAATTTCTCCCACCCCAGACAGTCATGACTCAGCCCACAGTTCAGTTGCAGAGCAGTAAGCAATCTGAGCAAGGAAGGCAACTTTATATGGCTGGACTTCAAAGGATACTCAAATAAATTCCTCCAATATTAATACTGCTATCAACATGCTGAACCTTCTCTTCTGCATTTCTTTTATTAAGCAGACTTTTTTTTTGCTACGAACTTATTTACCTTTTGACTGAATCTTTTCACAGTTAGGAGAGATGATGACACACTTCAGTTTTTTCAGCTTCAGATGTTTCAGAACTTCTCTAAGACCCATAACAAGCCTGCGTTTTATCTTGGCCTTTACTGGGTCTTTCTGATACAAGCGATCTTGGAAACGAACTAGTTCTTTTAAGAGATCTGTCACACAACTGTCAACTTCTTTGCTAAGTACCTGGCTGCAGTAACTGGAAGAAAGGAGCAATCAGATGGTTAGATTCACCAAAATTACAAATATGTAACATTTAAATATGTAATAAAATTACAAATATGTAACATTTAAATATGTAATAAATTGAATATACATTTTAAATTCTATTCTATGTCTTTGTATTTTTTTCTGTTTCCACGCCAAACATGCTTGTTATATATATGAAAACAAACATTTACTTAGGATTTCTTTTCAATGTCTGAGAACTTAAGAGGAAGAAGTTTTCTTCCTTGTGTTACCCGGCTTCCTAATCAAACTGTATTAGAAATATATATACATGTACAATGAACCTATTTATCTATATAGATATATAGGTATATATTTTATCCCAAGAAATAGGTATGTGCGAATCTTTCTCTACTGAAGCATTTTTCTAAGGTCATTTATTCTGATGGATATAAATCAAAGTACAGCAACCAAAGTACAAAATTCTAACTTATTTCTGTAAGTTCACGGCTCTGTGTAAAAACCATGGAAAACTGGATCACATTCCTCCTCCCTACATTCATGTCTGTCATCCTTTTTCAGTTACTAAGGCTTTGTGTTGTTCGTAAGGAAAGGATACAAAACAATGTAATTCACCCTTCCAGTACACTCTGGGCAAGATCAGAGTTAAAAATTATTTCACACCACCCCCCTATTATGCAAAGACTTTTCTAGGGAAGAAGGGTATCAAAGAGAAAAACTAAATATACCAAAGCATTGTCAACAGAAAGAGTTGCCAGTGGCAAATTCACATAAGACAATGAGAAGAGATCACAACATCTGTCCAGAATCTTAGAGATACAATTATTTTCGAATTTTATTTAGGTTACGAGAATTTTTACTTACTATTTCCTATTGGTTTCACTAAATCCTGAAGACAGATCTACTGGAACACAAAAAATCCCAATCTAAAGAAAATAATCTAAGCTTTGCTGAATGCTATACATCCTGTAGACTGAATTGTTCCTCACATATACAACCCAAACTGTGCTCTCAGTAAAACACTGTGGCATAGACACAAATTAAGCAATTTCTGTTGCAATGAAAAGTTAAATTAAGAGTTAACACAGCAGGAATGGTTGTATCACTATTAACCATTACTATGATATAAACTGCAAAAAAACTGCCAGTGGTGAATTTGCTGTATGGGAGGAGAACTAGAAGTTAAAACACCGCTTTCCTCAAGAAATTGTTTTAAGCTTTCATGACTGGACCTCTTCACATATAGTAATGACTATTTTTTTTAAAAAGAAACGTGTATAAACATCATCTTGAACATTTAGCTGGAACTGTTTGCACACAATAACTCATATTACCTTTATTCCTTCACCCAGCCATAACATGAAAATGCGGTTTCTTTACATTTTTGCCATTTGGTCTGGCAGTAGAAAACCAAACTACAACTAAAAATATTATTTAAGGAATAAAGTAGCACACCTTATTGAAGCTGTTACTCTATTATTTAAAATAAAGTACTTATACTTTAACAGCAGCTTCTTTTCTTCCTTTAGCCTCTAGAAAATTTTGTTTTTTATTCCTTCAAGGAACACATATTTTCAAATGAGAACCACAAAACACACTAAGTTTATAACGTCTTTGTGTGTCAGCTTACAGAAAGACTGAAACAAAAAAAATTTAGAGCCTTCAGTCTAAACTCTAGTTAGTTTTGCAGAGAATGCAACTGAATTACCTTGTATGAAAAATGCCATATAAGTGGTACTGTGCAAAATGTGCCATCAATACAATCAATACTTACTCTCTAAAATTCCTGCTGTGGATTTTTGGAAGAGTGGCAGTTGGCTGCTTTGAAGTCACAGAACCTTCTTTAGATTCCTTGATCCTCATGTGCTCCTGAAAGCCTTCAGCAACTTGCGTTACAGGAACAGCTATCATGTAAATCAAGATATTTCAATGAAAAGACAGCCCAAAAAGAATTGTGAAGAGATGAATCTGTCAAGCATGTATGGAAGAGTCACTACTTTAGTATTAGAACAGTCTGTGGTAGTAGGGAAACAAGTCTAAAATTTATTATTTTTTTTAATCTCATAGGGGTTTTTTCTCATTTCAAACTTTATTAATTGCCAGAGGTCGGTGGGAATTCTCCTTACAACATATCATAAAACCATCAGGCACAGAAGTGTGGAACAATAATCAGAATCCCTACTACTGACTTTCAGCTTTGGCCCACTTTACAGTCAAGATAAGCCTGAGGTGAATCTAAGAAAACGCTAAGGCTGCAGCCTTCATTTGGCAGTATTTAGTACTTATTTTCTGAAGTACTAAATGTGCTCAAATTTCCAGCTACATACTGTATTACAGGTTCTCTCAAAAGATACCTGCTTGACTATCCTGTAGAAGTGTTGCGTTTTCAGTAACATTTCCTGCTGTCTGAGAAATGTTATCTTCATCTTTTGATGCTGCTTTCTGTTCTAACAGGTGCTGCTGTTTTCTTTGTTCTCTTTCTTTCAGAATAATCTAAAATATATATCAAAACCAAACCAATTTGATGTCATGCAAATAACAAAGCATTACTCTTACCACATATTTACACAAAAATCTTTTAGGAAGAGATTTAGTACTAGCATCTGAAGTTTACAACCTTTTCTTTCTATTTGCACATAAAAAGAAGGAAAGATAATCCCTAAATTACATAGAAAAGGAATTTTACCTTGATTACCAGTGTATGGCTAGAGAAAATATTTACTAGGGATAAACTACAAGGGCAGAGCTAAAGTTTAAAAAAATCCTCTGCACAGAAGACATGACAGGAAACAACGTCAATGGGCAAAGAGGGTTGATACAACAGAAATCACCCGTTGAACCTAACACCTGTTGCTCCAGAATCAGCTGGAGTTCTGGCTTGGAAGAGCACAGAAACATTAAATACGACCTTGTTTGATTCTCCCCAGTCCTAAAATAAGGTCATCTTTGCCAAACCAAGTAATACGTTGCATGTCTCCCTGTACCAATGATGTGTGGATACTTTCGTAGTGGCACTTTATCAGCTATCAATTGATTCAAGGGAGAAAGTGTAGTTTTTGGGAATTTGTATATGCCATTTAGCAAGACTACCTCTTCTACCCCTCCCCTCTTTGAAACCAAGCAAAGCTAAAATTGAATTCAGACAAGTGGACACTGAGATGCAAATCTCCATATCAGAGGGCTTAACAGATTCCCAGAATAATATATCACCCTATAGTTTTAGTATTTAAGGTAAAAAAAAAAAAAACAAAACGAGGACCTTTTTAAGAGGTGTTGGTCTCTTGGCTTTAGGTACTTCTCTCTGTTTCCCTTTCTTTACCAAAGGAGCGCTGGAATCCAAGGGATTATGAGGCATCTTTCCTTGGTTTAAACGGTGACTTCTTGTGGCAGTAGCAGGGTCTTTAGATAGCAATGGTATGGCACCACCAACTGAGATTTAAGAAGAAATCTGCATCAGACAACTAAAATAAATACGTGAACTAGAATCCAATTTCGAGTTTAAGACTGGTATACACGTATTAAAATTGAGTTGTGCTGCTATTAAGAATATTTACAGGCAATCCTGTATCATTGAACAATGTTATTTTTAAAAGATACTCCTCACAAAAGACTGCTGTGTCCTCTACTTCTATTATACCCCTGGAATCACAATCTCTGTCTCAAACGCAGAATTTGACCAAACACTGCAGTCCAAAGTACCTTCAACACCATGCCATGCCAGCCAGGTAAACCTTTAGGAATTTCTGTGTTTCATGGCGGTGGCATTTCCTCCTCCACAGATTCCCTACTGGATTAAGATAAGTACTGAGTAGCAGTATTACAGATTTTAGATTTACTTGTTGTAAATAAACTACCTTTTGTTACACCTTAATGAAGCTGGATGAAATTCACTTGCAAATGGGTCATGAATAATGCAAAGCTACAGCTAAATCTCTTTTGCTTAACCTGCATAGCTCGCTGAAGATGTCCACTTTACTTGCATTTTTTCAGAGGGTTTGAGCACAGAAGTTTTAAATGACTGGACAAATGATTAAACCTGGATCTTCCACACCATGACTTCACACCAAATAAACTACTCTCCCTCACTATCAGTAGGAACTGCTGTATCCTTTAGAGCACTTTGTCAAACTTCAGTTACCTGCAGTATAAAGCAGTTCACATTAGCAAGTCAATGGAGAGGATGACTAAGTAAGTATCAGTGGAACCAGCTTGACACCTCCCTCTGTGACTCAGGCAACCTCTCTCCCCTAAATAAAGGAAAGTATACTGGCAGCTTGTCTCAAGCCATCTAAATTTACTGCTTCCACAATATTTATATGCAGATCCTCCCACATCACATGCAGTACTCTTACCATAAAGAGTTTACATCAGAAACCTGCTACACTTGATGTTTCTTTTTTCGCTCTGTGTACCAAAGGCAAACTGAGAACACTGCCAAGAATATGCAGCACAGGTGGCTACAAAAATTAAAGCTGGATTTGCAGCAATAAATAAGCATATACTCTGCAAATACATATTTCCTTCATGTGTACAACACTATTTCAAGTTCATAGTTTTCATGTTGCTAGACTTGATGACTTTACCAGTATTATCTATCATGTGAAGTAGTAAACGGAAAAAAAACAACTCTCTGTGGTCAGACTCCTTTCTGTTCTTGTTCACTGCCCTGTTCTTGGTAACAGAGGTCAGCACGATGCCACTTCGCAAACTAATGTTGTACATTGATGCACCAAATCAATGGTGTAGTGAACATTAAAAAAGTATAAAGCTAGGGTACCATCTGCCTTATGCTTCCAGGATGCACACGTGACACATCAATTTCTCTTCTGCAGCAGACTCAAGCACAGGACACAGTACTAGAAAAAAGGTATTTTGACCCATACCTTTGTGGCCCACCATCTACTCATCAATCCATGCACTGTGTAATTTCATAGAAACAAAACTGGTTATTAGCACCTCTGCAGCATTAAGTCTGATTGACCCAAATGAAAATAAAAGGAGATCAACTGAAAAAAAAGTAGTTTAAAAAAGCATCTTACAAGTTCTCTCAGCTTAGTGAAGTAAAATCTCATTGATGTTTAGCATCTTGAGCTTTGTATTTAAAATCTCAGCTATCACATAAAGTATTGTGAGATGATGTCTCTTGTGATTAGGTCTCTTTCTGACATAATTTCTAAAAAAAAATCTTTGCTGAAATGAGAGAAATTTTACCGTCACTGAATGCTAACAAATATTGTGGTTCCCTCTCCAAAATATACTACATCAGCATAATCAAGATTAAATGCTGACCTGTAATGAGAAAGGCAATGAGCTATTTTTTATTGCTTCCTGGTTATACATCATAAAGGACTGAAAGATCCTCTCCATTAACAAAACCAATTATTTCACAATTAAGAGGTATGTCAGAACTCATTCTTTGGCTTGGGCTGCCTGACTCTCATATAACCTCTGCTTGAAAAGGAGCTTTTTTAATCAAACCTCAGCTCCATGATTTCTAGCATAAGAAGAGATGAAGAAAGCCTTCGTTACCATGTAGCCCCTTCCTGCCTATTCAGATCAGAACAGTAACAGACATACTTAAGGGAGAGCAAGAACCTCCACAAACATTGGTATTGTCAAAGCAACATTTCAATCACGCCTTGTATTTATACAACACATTCTTTCACAAATGAGTGCCCTTAAGATAATTCTTTCCAAAAGTCCTCCATCAAACAATTCAGACTGTCATGCTTTTTAAATTTGTTTTTAAAGAACCATCACTTTCTCTTGTACCCGGTGAACTGTGCTTTTGCCTGGATAGAGATCATCATAGATCAGAAATCAGACTACATTTAATGTCTGAATACTTAAATATAGCATAAGGTGAAAGAAAGGAAAAGTCGTAGTAACCAATACCTGAAAATACCACAGGTTTAGGAGACTGTTTTGACTTCTCTGTTTGCTGCTTCTGCTCCAAGACTGCAAGCATGCCACCCAAATCCAATTGCACTGGAATTTGACTCTTCTTACCACTATTCCTGGATGTTTCCTAAACAATTTCAGCACCAGTTAGTAACAACCACCACTTCAGAATGTAAAGACGATTATTGTTTACAGTGTAATACACTCCTTTAACATCTTTATCCACAATACTTCTGATCTTTAATGCCACTCAAATAAACACGATCTTCAAATAAACCTCAAATTTAATGTCAAAAATATTAAAAAATCAGAAACAGTTTAGGTAACTTTTAAAAATGCTACTGCAATAAAGCATAGAAGTATAATGTCTTCAGTAAAGGAAGGCTTTTATGTTGGGTCCCACTTAGGTCAGACTGTCATCTATCTTTGAAAGAGATAAAAGGCTCATGAGAATTTAAAGTTTTCTTAAAATTATAGAAAAGCTACTGTGATCCTTCCAGGCTATATGACTGCAACACACATAAATCATTATCTCCAATGTTTCACTATAAAGAAATCTCATCATCTCATCATCTCTGCACCACTTCCTCATAAGGACTCATCTTTCTCTCTCCTTTGAAGAGAAGGCACTGAAGCCATGATCCATATTTAATGATGCAGAAAATAAAAATAATAAAACTGAATGGTGTGGTGAAGACTATGAACAAATAAACTACCAGGGCAAAACATGTGAAGGAAATGACTGCCAGATTTGGCACTTTTAATAGTCTTATCTGAGAGAATCAATTCATTCTAATTTCTGTTACAACAGGGTTAAGGAACATGACCTCCTCAGTCTTCAACTGGGATCTCACCTTGCATCAGAGGTGTGCTAGAGCCTACTCACTAACACAAAATTACTTCCCCATCTCACTTGTTGCTCCATAGTCCTCCCCCTTGCCCCAAGATAAGGGGATCTCCTTAACTCCCTGTTCTGTTAGAACAACTTTTAGGAGGTTCCCAGCTCCCTATCACCATCAGTTTGGACTGGATTTATGCCATGATCCAGTAAAAGAGGTGAAAGAAAAATTCCTGATATCTGAAACCCACAGATATTAATGAAAAATTTGTATTTTTCCCTAAACACTCAGTACCAAACCTTGGAGGCTGGCAATTACTACCAATGACTGCCTCTAATCAAGAGGACCATGTCATTTATCTCAAAGTATGAATGCAGAATCCCAGATGAGCATGGACTTAGTCTTATATTTAAACAGGCTCATTTCCTTTGTCCATTTTGAGCTGTGAACTTCTCTTCAAACATGAATTCACTTACCTGAGTTTTCTTTCTTTCTAATACAGAAGATGAAGCTTGTTTCCCTGACAGTCCGTCCACCTTGGGAGTTTCATCCAGAGAGGGAGACGGACTATCACAAGGCTCTTCAGAGAGATGGATCTTAGAAATTTAAAAACAAAAGGTGACAGGGAGGAAGAAAAAAATATTTAAAAACAAGATGCACAGAAAAGGGTGAAGATGGTATTAAATTCAAACCAAGTGCACCTTCTTTAGCATGTCTGTGAATGACCCCAGCTAAGTTCAGGAAAGGAATGCCATCCAGAATGATGGATGGTACTCTTGACAGGCTTGAGGGGTGTGCCTGTGTGAAACTCATGAAGTTCAGGAAGGCCAAGTGCAAAGTGTTGCACCTGCATCAAGGCAGCTCCCAGTACCAGCACAGGCTGGGAATGAACAGATGGAGAGCAGCTCTGCCCAGAAGGATTTAGGGGTGCTGGTGGATGAGAGGCTGGACATGACCCAGCCATGGGCACTCCCAGCCCAGAAAGCCAAACGTGTCCTGAGCTGTGTACAAAAAAGCATGGCCTGTGAATTGAAAGGAGTGATCCTCTCTCTACTCTGCTCTTGTGTGCTCCTACCCTGGAGTACTGTGTCCAGTGTTGGGATCCCCAGCCCTGCTACAGCAGGGCCAGAGGAGGACCACAGAAATGATCAGAGAGCTGCAACACCTCACTCATGATAAAAGGTAGAGAGAGTTGAGAGTGTTCAGCCGGGAAAAGAGAAGGCTCTTGGAAGACCGTATGTGGCCTTCTAGAAGGGGGACCGTTTATTGCCTGCTATACTACTTAATCACATTAATGTTTGTTTTTTTCTTTTCAGATTTGGAAAAAAATACTAGCAAGGCAGCTTTATTTTCAAATATTTGTTACAGGCATATGAATGGCCTAATGATCACGTCTCTGTAGTTTATGTAAGCTTTGAGGGGTTGTATTTCACATCTACAAAGCTAAGGGGCTGCTTTCATCTGAGTTGCATGTGTGTACAGAACCTTTTTTTGCAAAAAAAAAATCTTTTTTAAGCAATTGCTGTGCCTTTTGCTACTCACTCCTCCTTATCAAAGCTATTTTACCGCCTCACACAAAGCAAACAGCGGTGTTGTGTTCTTTTGCTTTGGGTTTTTTTCAAACCAAAAAGTTCACAGGGAAATAAAGCCAAGGACCAAAAGTTTTAGTAGCAAAACTAATTTCAAAGCAACTGAAACCTGGAATTTTCCCTTTAATATTTACATTACTTGCTTTGACAGAACAATCACACTTTCAATCCTTGTAATTTATGGTTAGGATTCATTTGCATATTGAATGCATTTCCAAATTAATTCTTGAGATTTATTTCACTCATGTAAAAAAAACCCAAAAAGCTTGGATTGTTAATTGACGTTTGACTCACATAACGTTGCAAGATTACTTACTTCAGACTGCTTTCTGACTGCAGAAGTAAAGAATGGTTTCTGAGATCCTACCCTGTTTCTTCTATCAGAAGCAGCTGCCAGATGAGGAAACTCCTCAACATCCTAAACAAATAAATAAAGATTTCGTAAGAACAATCAAGTTCATATTTTGAAAACTCTTTTTCCTACACTCCAACAATTTTCTCCCTGCTCATCAAACATTAATCATAATTTGTTTCACCGTACAAAAATTCAGAAGCGAAGCGTAGTGCCACCAGCTATGACAAGTATAACAATGGTTAAATCTTCTACACAGCAGCTAATTCGGGGCTAAAACAGCTTTTAACAGAAATGCTTCCAAAAGCAGCTTGTTATGGTTGTCAGCTGATAGAAATCATTAGAGGTAAACGGCTCCTAAAGGAGTGCTTCTTAAATCATTTAAAAGCCTTTCAAACAACTTCCCTCTTTTTCCAGCACAGTCTCCAGCTGTGCAATTCTACCTTAAACATGTGAGTGGTGAAGAACAAAACAGGAAGTATGTACTAGAGGACAGAAATAAACATAGAAATTACTCAAATTATTACGGCTTACACACAAGAGTAAGTTTTATTAGCAGAGGATCCATTGTGCAGAATCTGGATTAATCAAGTTTGATTTGAAGTTTGTCCTATACTTGTCACCTTATACCACTGTCTCCACCATAATGATCCCAATCCACCAGCTAGGTTTTTGCTTGTCCTCCCACTTTCTGAGAGGCCTTTTTAGCAGTACCACTTAACACACCACGACTTTTCCAGCCTGAAAGACTTCATTTAAACATCCTAATCGAGGAAGCTCTAACACAAGAGCTTGACCCACTTCAACCAATTAAATAATTTTAAAGAAGCTTGCAAGCCAAATAGCAATTGCAAGGAAGTGAAAATTTCACAAATACACTCTTTTCAGCTTAGGAGATTTAAGTAAGTCTGACCAATTGCTTCTGAAATGCAAATAGATTTCTGACATATGCAACATCCTGTAGTAAACAGAATAATTAAAATGTAGCATTCAGTGTGAGGTTACACCTCCCTGTATTTTGTTCTTACAATCTGTAACACTAGGAAACATCAAACACTAGAAAAAAGGTCAAGCAATTTCCTTTTTATTTTCTTGCCACTGATATATTCCCGTTTAGCCATCTCTTTTACATACTGAGAAGTCCTAATTTTGTTCAGTCTTGCCTCCCACAGAAATTGCTTCATACATTTGATTATTTTTGGTGCCTTTTGTCTATCTTTTTTATTTCAAGTATGTGTATTTTTTAAGGAACGGGGCAATGTAAGAAAAAAAAAATCCACACTATATTTAGATCAGATGTGCCCTGAAATTCTGTATTGTCATAATTAATTTTCCTTTTTATTTTCCTGTTTTCCTTTTTATAATTCCCAGCATTGTTTATGTGTCTGACCAGTACTACTAGCATTGACCTGATTATCAATAGCAGCTTCAATATTTAACTCAAGGAAGACATCGAGGTCAGGACCTACCAATGTGTATGAAAAGACAGGACTGTTTTTCTCCACATGTATCCATTTATGCTTATTAACAGTGTCTATAAATGACTGACCTGTGTAAAACTAGACAGCATTCCAATGTATTACTCTGTTGAGCTGGTGCACAAAACAGAACATTCTTAAACCTCCTGGGCGCCCAGAAGCTCCATGTGTCATCTCTTCATGGTTTACTATTTCAAGAGCATCATACAAGAATCTCACCCATTTTTCAAACTAATGAGGACCAAATCAGGAGGGTCAGAAAGCTTTCCTCCACTGCCACAACAGATGCTGCATCCACATCACAGATTTCAGTGCAATGCAATTTTTTCCAAATTCTGACTTCAATAGTCCCATTACCATTCTGCTAATTTCCATTACTTTGGCCATTCTCTTTCAGTTTGGATAATGTTCATTCATAGCATATAGCCTTTATGGTAGCATATAGCAAAAATGGGGATATTCTCCTGAAGAAAAGAATTAGCAGATCTTTGATTTTACCCATAATTTGCGTAAAAAAGAGGTCTGTTAACACTAATTTCTTGTGCTATTCCTGGACAAGAAATCACACAATGAAATCATGTAGACAGTTCTGCTTCATGTTCCACATTAAAATGTACAGAACAGAAGCCAGCCAGGAAGGTTTCTTTATGCTTTCATTTCAGAGACTGAGTATGACATACACTAGATCAAACATGTAAACCAACACATGCACATGCTGTACGATATGCGGCCTTCAATGAAGCACTGTTCTACCACATACCAGACAACAGCTCTCTTCTAAGGCGGGAGAGACTCATGCCTTTGCAATTACGGTACACAGAAGTATCAAAATACTAATATGCCTAGTTACATGAATTTGGAAGGAAACTGAAATTAAAAATCAGAAATGTAAGCACTGTCAACTGTGTTACACAGAAATTGCTTCCAGCTGTGAGGCAACTAGAACTGTAATACTGTACCACGATCTTTAAAACCATGGCACACTGTATCACCCAGTATATTCCCCAGACCCCAACCATCAGTTGCTACAGAATATTTCTAATTTAAGAAATTGTGCTCACCAAACGTGGTAATTTAAAAACTACAACAGTTTCCTACCAGTAACCTCTGACAAACATCTCAATTGAAAAGAAACTGTACCAACATCCTCTACAAATAGGATTTTAATTTAAATTTGTACAAAACTGTGTTAACATTTAGTCTTCTAGTACACTCATAACACTTAAAAGAACAGCAGTAAAAACTTCTTCAGTTTACCTCAATCTTTGGTGGCTCCTGTATTATGTTAGATTCACTTTGAGGTCTTTCTACATCAGTGGGTGACTTTAGTTTTTTCTTCTTTTTCTTCTTTTTTTTCTTCTTTTCTGACTCTTCTTCAGGCTCAGTTTCACTTGCAATATTTTTTGTTTCTGACTGCTGCAAAAGACCATAAGGCATGACCTCTAAAAACCAATCTTTTTCAGTAGCACCTACCAAAATATATGCAAGTGACTAGCTTTACACTACTAAAGGACATCTTAATCAATCCAGGCTGGGATATTAAGCAGACAAGGAAAATTCAGTATCTCTTAGAAATTCACAGCTGCAGCAAGAATTCTTCAGTTGCAGCATACTGCATTGTTATCAGAATGTATTGGGATTACTGGGATTTAATTAGGAAATATTAAGCTAAATAAGGCAAGAGTTCCATGTTTAATGTCTCATTGTGAAGATCAGGAATTTGAAAAAAATCCACTCTTAGAGTAGAACGTTCTTGCTCCTGGACTAGCACTATCTTTTTGCTACCCTGTGATTCTTTTCCATGACAAGAAAAATTCTAGCAAGAACAACCTGACTTCATATAATCTCTTACAGTGGTTACTTAAGTACAGGGCCCAGGGAAAATTTGCAATAGACACAAATGCAGTGACAGGTATTAGTTGAGAGCAGAGAATTTTCAAGTACCTTTGGTTCGTTCTCCTGCTTCCCTTTGCCTCTGGAAAGACCTTCAGATGCTGGTGATGAAACAATTTTCTTTGGGGGCTGTGAAAGTACCACGGCCCAAGACACATGTGGCTGAGCAGAGCCATCTGCAGGTGCTTCAGGAAATGACATTGGGAAAAAAGTAAACACAAAGATGTCTCAAAAATTGTCCTCACTACTCAAAAGAAAAAGGAACAGTAATTAATCAGTCAAGGCATAGCAAATATAGCAGAGCCATATTCTTTCTGGGGAAGGACTGGAATAAAACAGACATTTTATTTTTCTATCCAGCTTTCCTGAATTTTAACTATTCCACATACTGCCCAACACTATATATACATAAACAGAATTAACTGATATTTGGAAATCTCTACTGTATCATACTAACTCCATACTCCCATGCTCAACTTCAAAATACTGAAAATTCTGCTACGTTTATATACAAAATTCCTTTAATATTTCTCCTAGCAGTCATGCAGCTTTCATGCACGAGGCCACATCAGTACTTTTTACTTTCTGAAAACTTCCCAGTGTTACAGAGATACGTAGAAGCTGAAATACTTCCCAGTGTGCCACACTGTACAAGAATGTCACTCACTACGACTGAGGAGTATCAGTGTTTTGAGAGCCATAATTAATTTTGTAAATATTCCTAACATGGAGCAAATATAGAACATAATCTAGATTTTTCTTAAGAATGAGAAAAACTTCCTTTGAACAACAAAATAGCATAATCAGTTTAGACGGCTAAACTTTACTAGCAGGGGCAGTTTGCAGCAGCTGCTGTGAAGAGACAGACGTAGCCAGCCCCAGTCAGCAGGAGCACAGACCCACTGCCACCCCCAGCTGGGCTCATCAGCCAGGACCACAGTGCTTGTGTTTAGAAAGAGTGAAAAACACGTGCAGCAGCTGGAAGGCGGAATGATAAGAAAAACTGTGAATGCAGCAGCCCAGCACACACCAAGGTGAGAGCAGAAGGAGTGGGAGGAGGTGCTCAGGCACCAGAGCTGATGTTCCTCTACAGCCCCTGGTGCACTCCATGGTGAGGCAGCTGTGCCTCTGCAACCCTGCAGAGAAGTGGCAGAGTGGCCCCTGTTTCTCTGTGTCAGGGAGGAGATATTAGGAAGAAGAGAGGGTTGGAGGAAAGTGGCTTTAGTTTTATTTTTGCTTCTCATCATCTGACCCTATTTTAACTGTCAATAAATTGTCAATCATCATCAAATTGAGTCTGTTTTGCCTGGCAACCAAGCAATCTCCCTGTCCTTATTTTTGTTCCTAAGTCTTTTTATCTTATTTTCTTCTCCTGGCCTGTGAAGCAGGGAGTGCCAGAGAAACAGCTGTGTGGAAGTCTGACTACCTGCCACAGTCAACCCACCAGGAACTGCTACTTTTTTCTCAGGGACAGGAATTGACAATAATATTTAACCAAAGCCCCCCATTATTAGATGACCCTAGAAGTTCCGGAAGAACTTTATCTTTAGAAGGCCTTCAAGGCATTTCAGCAGATTAACATGTCCTTTCTGAATCCTTACTGAGATCCTAACTGAAGTTATTGGGAAGAAAAGGACCAAATTGTTCAGACTGGTACATGCCTGCGTATGCACAGAAATCCAGTGAGGGGCAGTCAGACAATTCAATCTTAATGTATGTGATGCCTCCAAGACAGAGTCCTGATGAACAGAACTCTTTTCACGTAAAACTAGCCACGTGATAGTTTGTGGCAATTAAAAAGAAAAAAAGCTCTTCATCCCCACAGCCAGACAACAGGTAAATAAACAACAACAACAAAAAAGAAGCCCCTTTTCCCCCCACAAATTCCCGAACAAAATGAACAAACAAAAAAAACGGAAGTGTTTTGTCATCATGGTTCTCTTAACAGAAAGAATACAAGACACAGAAAAAATTTTAGGTACATACTGAACTGGGGTGTCAGTTATTTAAAACAAATCTGCATAAAAAAGATTAATCAAATATCTGTCTCTCATTTATTCTTGGAAAAAATTACATATGACTCAAGAGACTTCCAATAACCAATACATGTTCCTTTTCTCACCTGAAACAATATGAGAAGCAACTACAGAAATATTTTCCCTTAAGCATCAATGACACAACAATATGGGACTCAATATTGAAGCCAGTTTTCTTTACTTTCTCCTGTGCTCTGTATTGAGGCCAGTCCTGTGTAAGATATCAATGACCAGGATCAAGTCAACAAGTTCACAGATGACACCAAACCGGGCAGGAGTGCTATCTGTTGGAAGGTAGGAAGGCTCTGCAGAGGGATCTGGACAGGTTGGATTGATGGGCAGAGCCTAACTGCACGAGGTTCAGCAAGCTGAAATGATAGGTTCTGTCTTTCAGATTGTGACAACAACCTCATGTGGTGCTACAGTCCTCAAGAAGAGCAGCAAGAAAGCTGCCCAGTGGAAAACAACTCGGGAGTGCTGGTGAGCAGCAGCTGTATGTGAGCCAGAGTGCACCCAGGTTGCCAAGACCCAGGATGCCAACACAATGGTATCCTGGCCTGTATCAGCAATATTGTGGCCAGCAGGACCAGGGCAAGGATTGTTCCAATGTCTCTGCGCAGCACTGGTGAGGCCACATCCCAAATGCATCCAGTTCTGGGCCCCTCATTACAAGAAGGACATTTGAGATGTTTTGACGGACATCTGGGGCATGTTCAGAGAAGGGCAATGGAGCTGGTGAAGGATCTGGAGCACAAGTCCTGTGAGGAGCAGCTGAGGGAGCTGGGGGTGTTTAGCCTGGAGAAAAGGAAGCTCAGGGGTGACCTTACCACTCTCTACAGCTGCCTGAAAGGAGCGTGTAGCTCCAACCAGGTGGGGGTTGGCCTCTTCTCTCAGGTAACAAGAGACAGGACAAGGGGAAACAGCCTCAAGTTGTACCAAGACAGTTTCAGATTGGACATTAGGAAAAATTTCTTCACCAAAAGTGTTATCAAGCACTGGATGGGCAGCCTAGCGTAGTAGTTGATTCACTGTTCCTGGAGATATTTAAAACATGTGGACACTTGGCACTTAAGGACTTGGTTTAGTGGTGGACTTGGAAGTGTTAAGAGTTATGATCTCTTCCAAACTAAATAATTTTTCAATTCTAAAATCCCAGCTGACGAAATATATGAGCAAGAATGAGTGACAAGTGGTCATCTCATTTGAAAGAAAGTGTTACAGTGTTAGTGACGCAGGGCTTTTTCTTTTGTAAGTGAGCTTATTCCTAAATTCTTTTTTTTTACTTTACACAGCAACAGGTCCTCAGGACACTTTAGTTTTCCAAACTGCTGAGATACAAACAGTTAAAAACGCAGGCAAATAATTTTTGTTTGGAGAACTTACCCCTACCATCAAGTGAAGAGGGAATTAAATTGGCTCCTGCTTCATCTGAAGCTTTTGGTGAAGCTTTACTTTTTCCAGAAGTATCTTCCTGCAAAACACATGGTCAGGTATCATAAAACGATTCAAATCACTGACCTAAGTACAGCTAAACACAAGAAACCACCATAAATGAAAAAATCCTCAACGCATCTTCAGATAAGGGCATATGGACCTTTTCAGCCCTTTAGTTGCTTGTCTTAGTGGAACCATCATTTCAGCCCTATGGTATTACAAAATTTGAGCAGGTGTCTCTTCACTGTGTACAAGCAAGATTATGCCTTCTTATATTTTACAAAAGCATCAAAATTATGATCTAACAACAGAAAACATTTTGTTGTTTCATGTATGCTAAAAACAAATAACGAAAAATGACACTCAAGGCCTAGCAGAAAGGTCTTTTTTCATTAGTTTTCCACTCAGAAGCATCAGAAATATTATCCTGTTTGGATCCTTCAGAATTATTAATCATTAATCACTACTGAAAACTTGATTCAATATATATGAAATACTGCTGAATACTTCAGTATTTTATTTACTAACAAACAAGGAGCCAAAGAAATAAAGAATAACGTTCAACAATATTTTTTCTCCTTTTGGAATTCAGTTTCTCATTTTCAACCTTTAGCAGAAAGCAATTAAGTACAACAATGCAGGCCTTTTTTTTTAATGCATTGAAACTACTGGATAAATACTACTTACTTACTATTTCCAAGTGCAAAAAGAAAACAGTAAGCTGCTAAGTACAGGAACATATGTGGTCTCTATAGGCAATCTAGACCATACCAGTACATATTTACATTCTGGGGATACCTGGCTTTCCTCTGTCTATGGTCAGCACAGACAAGGAAAGACCAGTAAAAAAAGAATAGGAGACAGCAAGCACTGACACCACATCTAGAAGAAGAGCCCTAAAACCTCTAACTCTGAACTTCCTTGCTCACGAGGTACTTAAATAGGTCGTAAACCACCGTATGGAATGTAAAATACTTGCACTAATAATGCTTGTACTTTTGACAAGTTTTATTTTTACGAGTTCTGCAACATGGGTTAGCACGGGCTATCCTTGGTGTTCAGCAGAAGGGACATGTGAAGTTGACTAAGGACTTAGTGTTATTTTCCACCAAACTTACTGGTGTGCTTTTACGGTGTACATTCAGTATCTCACTGCTTCCCAAACTCTGTGACTTGTGGAAATCCAGAATGCTAGCTTCAAATGTGGGTACAGGACGAGACTCTGGTTTTGGAGCTTCAGTTGACTTCTTCTTTGTAGTTTCATTGAACCTGTCTACATAAAGCATGTAAAGTCTAAGTAATAAACTTGCTTGTGATCATTTCTATTTAAATTTAATTTCATTTTATGGTACACTAGTTAACATAACTACAGCAATCGTCATGAGGACTGTTGCTATGCCCAGCTCATACTAAATAAAAAGACTAGCAATTATAATCAACATGCAAACACAACCTGACTGAAAAGCAAATATAAATTCAGGCACTTGTTTTGGAAATTTTTTATATCACTTTACATGAATTTGTTCAATCAGGAAAAGACAGGTCACTATTCCTTCTCAAGAGTCACACAGAAAAGGTATCTTTTTCCTTAATTATTCTAGATTTAGAAACATACTCACAAACTACACTATATTGCACAGACACCCATTCTACATCTATTTCATGTACCTATAACCAAACATGTTTGTACCTGGCTTCATAGAATCTCTGCTGCATGTTGAAGTCTGGAATGAAGTCCAGTTCACAATTCTGACTGAAGCTTCACCTCCATCATGTCTTTTCTTGTCCAGTTTTTTCTCACCTTCTTTTGATCTCCTCTGCAAGTATTTGAGACATATTTAGCAAGTTTTACTGAAACGTTGTAAAGCTAGTAAGTTTGCCATGAGTAACAGTTGACCACCTATCTGGAGTTTGTCCATCAAGTTAATACAAAACAAATAGCTAGTACATCACAACCACAAGTAACCAATAAAAACAGGAACAGCCATCTAGAGATAGGCTATTCAATCTCATCTACCTTGCTCCCTGTGCCATTTTTAGCACATATTATGTCCCAAGTAAAAAGATATACACATGTGCTCTAGACAACAGCATTTTTGCAATCTCATTAATCAGAGCTTTTGCAATACTTTAAAATAGTTTGGTATAAAATCATCCAGTCTGATTTTCTAAAACAAAGTTTCTTCTAGAACAGACCTAAAATCTTAAAAGCATGCCATCTTTTGACTAAATTAAAAATCATTGGCAAAATGCGTAAGACTGATGTCACAACATCCAAAAAACTTGGAGTAAAGTAGTTAGAGAAGACATACCTACATGATCCCTGTAAAGGACACACACTCAGCCATACAGCACAGACATGAAAATCTTATGATCCTTCCATGAAACGCAGTTTGGCAGAGCTAGGCTTAGGAATCAGCAAGCAAGGAACAAGCACCAGGTTTGCATCTATGCAAACTATACTATACCATCCTAGATGAATTAACTCTGATTACAGGACTACATTCAAAGTACATCTGGCAGCAAAATTGTTTTCTTAGGTGGGAGGACAAGGCATTTCTTGATCTCCAAAGGCAAATTGTTAAAGCTTTAGGATAAGTGATCGAATTAATACGAAGCTGCAAAGATTAATCACTTCCCTTAAGTTCACCAAAAAAATGTATGACAGGGAAAAATGACAAAAAGACTACAAAACAGTACAAGGCCCCTACAAAGATCAAAGAAGCTTAACTAAGTTTTTTTGTATTACATCACCTGTGCTAATGCTGAACTCATCCTCTCCTGCGACAGTTTCAGCACATAATCCTCCTCTCAGCAAGAAAACAAGTAATTATAGGTGTCTAGACTTTGTCCCTTATGTCTAGTAATGCATGCTTAGGACCTAGTCTTACAACTCCTCTACACAGGCTTGACCACAGTGAAGTTACCAGGTCTCTGCCTAGTGAGTAAGGTCCACCAGAAGGATGTGACTGCAGAACAGATCAGATGAAACTGCTGGAAACAAAAGCAGCCATACAAATCTAAGAAACACAACATCTAACCACAGAGGGAAATGAGTTGATAACACATTAGGGTTTTTTCCCTTTTATATTTTGAGAGTTTGTCTATTTTTTGTCTGAAAGTATTTTGCAAGTTTCAGGAAATTTATCCCCAGACACACAGAAAAATGACAGAAGATGTTTACTGAACATTGGTTTTTAATATTTTAATATTAATTAAAAAAAAATACAAATTTGCTCACCTTTGAAAGACTCTTACTTTCTTGTCTGACTGGATATGTTTGCTCAGCAGATTCACTGACTACTCCTGAACCATTATAGTGTGTTGAGTTGTTAGACTGACACTGTGAGCCAGCTACTGGATACACATTTGCAACAACACCAGGTGAGTAAGAGCAGTTGGAGTATTCACGGAAGGCAGGATCTCCCAGAACACTATGTGATGAATATTGAGAAAGAAATGAAAGTCATCTGGGACAAATCTTCAGCACCTGCTTGTATCCTAGACAAACATATTCCTTGTCTAAAGAATTTGTTTAACAAGAAAACTCTATTTAAAAAGAAAACTATTCTGTGTTATTTCAATTATTTACTCATTGCTACAGACTTCTTTAAAAACAATTAATTTTGTTTTGGGAAAACATGTAGTTAAGCAAATATCTTAAAACACACGTTATCCACTTCCAAGTTTCAAAGCTAGGCTGTTTTACAGTTATAATTCTCATGCCTATTTAAGGTTACTGAGATTGGTCATACTTATTTTCAGTAAGCTTTTTCTTGTGAAATAAACCAAAAGCACAGTGTAAGGACATGACATGCATCACATACTTAACTGCAAAAAAACAAACACTGAAACCCATCTTGAAATGACAATAACAAAGTGGGAGTATAACATTTTATGGAGTATAAAACATGTATGAAATACAATGTAGAATTATAAAATAATGATTAACTGACCTGCATGTAACCATCACAATTTATGAAAACACAACACGTTTGGGGCAAACCTCTTTCCTTCAAATGCATGTTCAAAAATTCCCTTTCAATTTCCTTCTACACTTTGTCCAGAAAATTATATAATCCAGATTTGATTAGGGAGAATAGAAATTTCTCAGCTTCAAAAAGTTGCACTCAGTTTTTACGGCTGTTCTCCATGAAGCTGCCAACCTCAGAACTTTGTGTAGATAATGGCTGAGAAACATTCCCATCAGTACTAGAGACTTCAGATAACACAATTCATTCTACCAGTTGCAATTCTGACAGAATGTAGTCAAAACAATGCTTACAATCCGTTTACACACGAAGAAGAAATATACCACATGAGACTCAAATATAACTACGTCTCAGTCCCAACAAGGAAAAACACTCATTAGAAGACTGTTATTGTCTGGGATGGGGTTTTTTGACAGTAACTGATTTAATGCTAAAGCTTTCTTTGATGCATAGAATAGGCCATACTCACCTCACTGTTAAATTTCTACTACAAATGAAAATAGGTTGAAAATACTAAGATTTCCTGTAGGATAAAATAATGGCCTACAATGATTGTGTTCACTAATGCTGTGAATTTTCAAAGAAACACCAGTAACTTTGTAGTAAATTGTATAATCAAGCCAATGCTTAGGATCCTGAAAAGCAATGAGAAAACTATGTAACATCATCAGTTAACTCACTTTTTTCCTATCCTACTATGCAGCTTTTTTCTAGCTTGCTCTGGGTTAAAAAATACTTTTATAAGTCTACCACAAATACCGTTCCTGGGCTCTAACAGAAAAACCCCAAAACTTTCAGAAACCTGTGGCATTTTTAGTAAAACTGCCCTTCTGAAGATGCACAAGTTGTGGAGAGGAGATCCAGGAGAAGCCTCTTATACTAAATATTTTACAACATGAGAAATCTTCTTGAAGAAGGTTTCATCTTTTCCCTTGTGTACAACTACATCTACCTCAGCCTGGTTGCAACACAACCATTCTTTCATCCAAGGACTGGATTCGGCTCCTTCCAAAACACACAAAAACCAGACCAATTGTTACAGACCACCAAATCCTTCTTAATGCTCTGTAACAATATGGGCCTTTGTGAGCAAAAGACAAGGTACCTGGAATACACCCAGAGAACATAAATAAAAAAAACTAAATCACGAAGATAATGCAGAAGCATTTCTACAGTTGCACTAATAATGTATTGGAAATTTAGTTTTGTAAGAGTACTCAACGACAAAAACCAGAAGGTTAAAATCCCCCAAGAAATAAGATTCAGAAAATATACATACTTATCCAAAGATGGTTCCTGAACAAATGGGTAGCATGTAGTTAAGTACCTAGGAAAGACACATGCTTCTGAGGGTTCTGACCATGCCACAGTTACCGCCGCATGCTTTGGAACAAATGGTTTGACCTCTGCTGACAACTTGATGCCCTGAGAAACAAAACGTTTTTTGGCTACATGCATTTGGAGATTAATGTTATTAAGTGAAAAACACTCAGTCTCGTGAGCTTAATTGTCATCGGAAAGTGTTAGTTTACTCTCTTCTAACAAAACATGCAAAACAACAAAGCTCACCAAAAGGAAATGAAGAATTAAGTGAAAATAAAATCAGGGAATTCGAAGAAACATCTGACTGTTCTGTAAAGTCATTTCAATACCCTCATTTATCATGAAGCACTCACAAAGGTGTTATGTAAAGGACAGAAGCCTGCTTAAAACAAGATGCAGTAAATGCAAACATACGAATTCTTACTTCATATTTGAACAGTACAAACTAAAATTCACAAATACACAAGCACTACTCTTAATCAAACTCTGAAAATATGTAACAATGACTTTGCGCACATCTGTATTTTAAGGCAGTCTGTCTGAAATGAAGATTTTATGGCCTTCTTGTGTCTAGCACAACATGAACTTATTAAGACAAGTTTTCCATTTGTTCTGAATTACCATCGACTTAAACTGGATATGTATATATGGAAGGACAATGAAATGAGACTCGAAGTACTCGTTACTGCTGTGTCATCAAGACACGCAAGAAGCAACGGTGACCATAGCCTGATCACTGAGAACCCCGAACCTGACCAGGTGACAGGTCCATGCGCATAACACTAGTGGCACCCAGCCTTACAACGTCCACCTGTCCTTACAGCAGACCCTCTATCTGAACGCCAAAAGGTTTCCACATTGGAGCCCACTGGAAGTTAATATCTGGAGCTCCCCATCCCAAGCGGTGGGAAGCGACTCAATGTGCTCCAAACTGAGCGATCCCTCCCCCGGGTTTTGACCTTCCAGAAGGACTCTTCCCGCAGTCCTGAACCAAAGGCTGATCCAAGGCGCGGTGAGAGTCACCCTGCCTGGCAAAGTGTATAGACAGTCGGCGCGGCGCGCTCGGCCCGAGCTGGTGGACGGCCCCCGGGGCGGGGAGCGGCACCGAGCCGTGGCCCGAGGCATTCGCCCGCAGCTCCCGCCCCAGGCGGCTCCTGGAGAGCGACTCCGCACCGGGGAGGGGGCAGGGGACTGCAGGTGCTGCGGCCGCCCTTACCTCGCCGTCGCGGCGCGAGCGCGGCCGCCTCTCGGCCGACATGGCGCGGGGGGCGCGGCCCCGCTTCCCGGCCCGGCGCAGGGCGCGCTGTGATGACGCAATGGCCCCGCCCCGCCCGCTCCCGGCGGGCCCGGTACAGGGGGAAGCGGCACGGCAGTGTCCAGGGCTCGGCCCCGGCCCATCCTGTCCCATAGGAGAAGGGACGACACGGAATCAAGGCAGTGACAGCCACCCAGGACTCCGGTGGTCACGTTCTGGGGGAAAGTATGACTGAAGCAAGACTCGTGCTTGCTTCAGACTTGGACAGTCCCGCTCTAACCAGGCCTGGTACAGACCAGCACTTGAGACAGACATGTCTGGCAACTTTTGCAGGAAAGACTACAGCAGTACTTTTCCTCACCAAACTTTCCAGGTTACTTAACTTTGTCTCCAAGAGAGCACACATTACACAGGTAGAGGACATGTTTCCAACCCTGCTTTTGTTGGCCTTCGAAACTGTGTACAACTGTAATGCAATTTGCCTTTGGAATTAACCCGTTACTCAATATACGGAAACACCGTCTTAAAGTCTGTTTGTATGGCTACTACTACAGTGTACTAAGAAGCCACGGTGACAATTTCAATGCAAGACAAGAAGAGCAGGCTAAAACACCTGAGAAAAAATTAACTGGTATTGGCAAAGTTAAACAAAGGAGCCTAAAAAGCTCTTTGAAATACTGAGTACTATTCAACCCTAAGTTTATACCAAGTAATACCAGGTTCACCAAATTAGTTTTGTTTTTTGAAGTAGGTACTGCTAAAAAATGTTAGATATTTGTTTTGTCAATAAATTACAAATCGAGACAATTAGGTTTCATTGAACATTAAAAACAGTTTATTTCTTAAGCCTTCTTACTACTAAACAGTTGAACTATTGGATTTGAACATACTACACTGCAGCAGGAAACATGAGTGCAAGTTACAGAACACTAACAAGCCATGAGCTAATCAGAATGTGCAACACAAACATCAATACAATTTAAGTCAGAGAGAAACATTAGAAGATTAAAAAAAAAAAAAATAGTCATCACTCTTTGAACATCATAGCAGCCTGCCTGGAATTGCATTTGACTGAGCTTTGTTGCTGTGAATAATACAGCTCATGCACAGGTTTGGATGTAGGTTTTGTAAATTTAAAGTATTCACTGAATACTACCAACATATATACACTCATATACATAGTTCCAGAAGATTCAAGAAGCAATGGCTTATTTCTGCTCATCCTTTGGAAGAGGTCTTCTGAAGAGCAGAATATGTGGTTCTGCAGAAAGAAAATGAAACAAAGTGTTAGTTTGTCCAAATCCTTTGATTGAAGGGATTTCTTTAATCTTCAACGGTCGTTGAGGCTTAGTTTCAAAAAATAAATAGGAAGCCTAAGTACGACCCCACATGTAACAGACCAAGTTTGCAGCACTATTACAACAGTCAAGTTTTTATTTTTATACCCAATGCTAGTAGTATCATAAACCTAAGATCCTTACAGGAGCGAAGTATTGAGAAAATACGGAGTTTTTTAAAATATCTCTGTACATTTGGCTATTTGATAAACACTGTTACTGTAACTTAGACTAACAAACTGCTGATACTGTCTGTTAGGCGCATATCAAGCGCTAACAAAATCCACTTTGGTTAATACAACCAGCTTACATTAATATCAATCTTCTTAATTCTAAATGCCTCCAGGAAAAGCTAGCCAAGTAGGGGAAACACTGGAAGGCTAAGCTAATTTCTTCACCTGATTCTTCAGAAAATTGGAACTTCATTTTGCTGCAATTAATCAGTTACTTTTCAGTCAGGCTTGTCAATGGTTAAGTTACCTGGAATGGCTATTCCCACAATACCAACATCCTAGTTAGTAAGGGTTTTTGGGCTTTGCACCCCATTATCTGAAATACTGATTTTTCAGGAGGCTCTACAGCTAGAGCTGAAACTATCCTCAGGAGTTCTCAGAAGATTAATACAGGACCTTATCTACATGTGCATCTATTAAGTTGTAAAAAAGTATGTGTGTCAGCCTTATGATTTACAGATATGCTGCGACATTATCTTTGGTTCGGTCACTGCATACTCATGCTATTTAAGAGCTCACAAAAAGTCTGTTTCTATGGGCAGAAGCAGGAACACTTTCCAGTCTGGTATTTTTTGTCTACAGATAAACCATACACATCTAGGACAAAACTCACATTTTGCAAGTCTGGAAGCAGGATGTGAAGGCTGAAAATAAAGATTATGTAGCCTTTCTTGGCAAAGGATTAAAAAAGTAAGAAGAGAGTAACATTCAGTAGTGAATTGCAAATGGATTTCACAGTAGGAGTTACACATCACATACTTCAGCTGAGCACCAGGCAGTTGATACTTGACTTTTTGGTTTGTCTGTTCAGATGTGCTCACCTGGCTCATGGATCATATAGTGAACCCAGCCAAGACTCTGCTGAACACCAAGTCGTCTCCACTCTTCTTCAGACATCAGATGAGATTTTGGCACTTGTTTTGAAAGTTCTCGTGGCAGCATCACATGGCTGTAGAGGTTTAATTATTAAACACACACACAAAATACTATACACTAGAAAATTGGAACAGATCTGCACTCAAAGACAGTAAACAGGTTATGAATACTCACTTTCCCTATAAAGAAAACAAGAGTATTGACTCTTGGCATAAATTCGATTATGAAACCTGTCCCAGAATCCAGTCTAAAATAATTTACGACTATTAAACGTTACATACGTAAAGCAACTGCATACTGGGACCCAAATGGTCTTCTAGAAGAGATTTAGACCCCTTCAGACTCCAACGACTGTGCAGTCAGAGAAGCATGCGCTCCTGGCAACAGGCTGCTGTGTCAGCTACTTGAAAATAGGAACTTTGGACTTTCAGAGTATTTGTAATACCGCTTTCAAGTAAGCGTAGAAGAGTTAAACTTCAAGAGTCCCTCATCGGCAGGGGCCGACGCTGCCCCATCCCAGGCTCTGCCCTGGAGTTAGCGCAGACGGTACCGCCCCTCCGCCATCTCCCTGTGACCAGAGCTTATGTTGGCCGCTCACCGAGCGATCTGAGCCAACCGATTACAGCATTCGGCCATTCATCCCCTTCGTCCCGCCACTCCAAAGCCACGCGGAAACCCCCCATGGGAAGGGCACAGCCCTCCCTCACTGGCCTCTCTGGCTTCATTTCCCCGGCGGAGCCTCTTCATTCCCTGACAGCAGCCCGCAGACCTCGGCCGAGGCGCCTAGCCGAGCCGTCCTCCTGGAGCGGCTATTCTTAATCCCTCTAGCTGGCCCTTCCGCACTCTCCTACAGCTTCTTACCGGTACTCGTACTGCTCGTCAGAGTACTTATCAGAATAGTAGATTTGCTTGTGGGCCATGGCGGGCGGCAGCACAGGGTGAAGCAGCAGCACAGACTGGAGCAGCGGCACAGGCAGCAGCCTCTGGTTCCCCCCTCACGGACACCTCGCGCACTAACTGCCCCCTTCTGCGCCCCGCAACGTTTGAATCTAGCGGCTCGGCTCCCATTGGCTCTTTCCGGGGCCGGCCAATCGCGTGCCGCGCCGCTGCGCCCCACCCGCGCCCGCCAGCTCGTGACTCGCGCGCTCGCCGCTCCCAACCAATCCGCGTCAGCCGCGGCAGGGGGGGGGATGCGTTACGTAACGGGCGGTGGCGGTCGGGAGGAGCGGCCGCTCCGGCACCGAGCGGAGGGGCGGGGCTAGCGGGGGAAGAGGCACGGGCTCGCCTGATTGGCCAGGGGCGGCCGGGGCGGGCGCGCGCCCTGGGCCCAGCCCGCACATGCGCAGCTCGGCGCGGCGCTCACCGCCGCTGCTTTACGCTGCTCGACTCTGCTCAGCTCGGTCCCTGGTGTCCGGCGGGCCTGCTGCTTTCAGGGCAGTGAGAGAGTGATGCC